TAATATATAAAATTCTCGTGTCGCGGTGTTTGTGGTTAAACTCCTCCGACCCGGCTTTCCCGATTCTCATGAAATTTTGTGTGCATATTGGGTAGGTCTGAGAATCGGACAACATCTATTTTTCATCCCCCTAAATGTTAAGGGTAATCCACCACTTTTTTTTTTATTTTAGTTTTTTTTTTAATTTTTATGATACATCATTCAAAAATACATCCACCCTAAATTTTCACCCTTCTACCATCAACCCCTACTTTATTATGGCGGTACGAAGTTCGCTGGGACAGCTAGTATATAGGTATTATATATGTCTATTTTCACCGATTTCAATTGTGGACCGATTTCCAAAATTCTTTTTTTATTCGAAAGAGTGCACTTCCGAGGTGGTCCCATTGAAACCAAGTCAGGATCTGATGGTGGAATCCGGGGAAATCGAGGGAAACCTTCGAATTTCAAAGGCACGCACGATGTTTTTTTATGCATGTTCACCGATTTCTCCGTCAATTGTGATATTCTTTACTTATACGATGTAATTTTTCACTAAAATGGATAAAAGAAAAATTAAAAAAAAAAAACCGACTTCAAAATCGAAAATGGAACTAAAAAGTAAAAAATTATATCTGGTTTATGATTTGGAAGTCGGGTGGGGTCAAGATTGAAACATTAAATAGATTTTCGTTTCTGATCGGTAATAATACGTCTTACAATCTTGACCCGCCCGACTTCCAAATCATGAACCAGATATTATATTTTACTTGAAATCGGTTTTATTGTGGACTGGACTAAGGCCGTTTTTCCCCTTAGCCCTTAATATGTCGATAAAATATATTATTAGTTGTACAATGACGGGGCGGTCAACTTTCAAATTCAAAAACTTAAGCAAATATTAGTAGAAAAATATTCCACGCGGACTAGGCAGCAGACGGGACTCGACATTCGCTATCCGGGCTAATGCACTGACCATTTATATTACCGTGGCCCTTATGACCGTGTTGACTTTTCTCTAGCCTTACTTAGGCTGCAAGGCAGCACCGTCTCTTCGCATTGCAGGTAACCCACATCGTCAAATAAAATTCTTTACATTTTTTAAACATTCAGCAGTTTAATGCTTAAAAAATTAAAAATAAATTTCAAAATCTTCTCATTTCAAACCACAGATAATTTAATATCTATAAATACCGTTACCTTTAGATACGAATCGTGGATATATTTTTAACTAGTACCGATGCCAGCAAATTCGTCTACGTGTAATAATTCGTTTCCCATATAAACTTTCACCCCTCTTTTCACCCCCTTAAAGGATGATTTCTGGGATAAAAACTATCCTATGTCCTTTCTCGGGACTGTAACTATCTCTGTACCAAATTTCAGCTAAATAGGTTCTTTTTTGGCAAATATGTTTATGCGATGTATCGTACAGACATGAGAAACTTTCATTTTTACAAGATATTTAGTGAATATAAATGTGGCCAAATCTGTTATTTAAATCTCTATTCTGCATAAAATATTCAACATTGAATTGCAAATTGAAAATGATTGAAATGGTAACCAATAAATACCTTTACACTAAGGCCCGTATTACTGAATGACAACTAAGTGTTGATCTTTACTTGAATATAGTTAGAAAGGGATGTCGCTATGTGCTTTATATAGCGACATCCCTTTCTAACTATGCTCAAGACTATATCAATCACTGAGAATCTTTCTTTAATACGGGCCTTAATGTTCGTGAGCGGAAAGAGATCATCAGCATAATACACGTATTGGGATCGATCCATTTATCACGAAACTGTTTACTAGCGCTACTTGGTGCTTGTATCATTTAAGCTACTACACGCGATAGCTGAAGAAAGACATGCTTAGCTACCCACAAGGAAGAAAACATTACTGGTACTGTTGTGCATGATAACATACCAAACATAATATACACCTAACTCCCCCGGATCTCAAACTAACTCTGTAGCAAATTTCATCTCAATCAGTTCAGCGGCTTGAAGAGGTAATAGACAGACAGATACACTTTCGCTTAAACAGGGTGTAAAAAAACCTTTAACGAAGTTGAAGGCCACGTATTTTCCACATCATGACGATCATTATTTCCTCCGGGACCATACCTGAGAAATTTCTAGTTATGGAGATATTGAAGGTCAAAGTCACAATTTTTTTTTTCAAGATTATTACATTAATATTTTCTCAAAACGTTAATTAGAAACTTTTTGATCGACGCACTTACACACATACACACAGGCACATTCTTTGCGCAGCTCCACAGTAGAACGCCGCGCTATACATTGTGTACTGGAAAAAAAAAATATTTAAAAATACATTTTTTTCCCACGTATAATATTTTGTAATATTGCTTGTTTGGGTGTACAGAATGTGTAGTTTGAGTATTTGTCATAGGATTTTTTACACCCTGTATAATATTTGTATGATGAAGTTGATTGTCGAGTTTCGTTCGTTCTACAATTGCGGTTCTAAACTGGTGTTACGAAAAAGTTAACTACATTCGACAACAAATAACTACAACCTTTGAAACTCCGATTCGACTTTCTCAAAAATATTTAAAACTTACAACTATCAAAGGCAGAGCAAGTGCGTTTCATCAGATTAAATTATTAAAACAATTTAAATTCTAAAGAACTACTTTGCTTTGCTATAGAAGTAAAAACACCATGCTATAGATTTGATAATTTCTAAATAAAGTTGCGATTGTCGTTCTTTTTTTTATAAAATAAGAACACTTATGTGGTTAAAAAAAAAACAGTTTTTGTTCATCGTTTTATCGGACGGGTGTATTTTGCTACGTATTTCACTACCGATTAACACAACTGGAAAACGACTGTGCTTTGGGAAATTCTATAAACGCGTTATAAATTAATTAATCCCAATGAATTCCTGTTCATTTTAATCATCATGTAACGGGGTTTCTGCGGGAATAACTTTGATAATTGTAAGTTTTATACTTACTTGATGAGAAAATGAGAGAAAAAAAGGAATGTGTTTAATTTTAATTAGCCTTCTTTAAAAAAAAACATAAAACGTTTTGGACATTAATCGCGAGTCGCATTTATCTTTACAATTAACTAAGGTTGCTTTGTTTGGTGTGTAAATCAGTAAATAGAGAATTCTTTCATATAGGTAATGATTAACTTCCGCATTTTACACAACACTCGCATAACTCCTTGGTACGAAATTATAAATAGAACTAGTGCTAGTAGTATGCAATAAGTTTAAGGAATGTATTAGCTACAGAACACAGAAAAAGGTTAGAAGGGTGGTCAGAGACCGTTTGTATGGGAACCGATGTCGCCGGCTCGCCCCTACTACACTAACACCTAATAATGGCCAATCAAACGACGCGACATCAAATAATCGAACCAATTAGCGCTCACACCCGAGAGCAACGACGCAATCAGAACCAAATTTTGGTCAAGTTATGAGCATTTGCTCATGCATAACTGTAGCGCGCCTGTCCCGCCCACAAGGCCCTTCTAACCTCATTCTGTGTTCTGTGGTATTAGCCAAAGATATTTTTTTTCATGTTGTTGTACATTATACATACCTATATTTAAAAAAATATTTTTACTTACATTAAACCACAATTACATTTTAATTGGAGCGTTGGTATCTGCACTAGTATAAACTGTATGGCAGGTACCAGCGCCTTCCCATAAATAAATAGTACATTTAATAATGTCATGCAACTAAAAAAACTCTATCGCAAATATTAAAACACTTTATGAATATTGTTGTATGTAGGGCGTAGCGGATTATCCGATCAATTTGGAGCGCCAGCCTGGGGAAATACTTACAGAATACCGGAGTGAAATAACATCGTATCTCTTATCATTTCTATTTGCGTTTTCTATAAATACCCAGGGGCGTGTTTACCCTTAGGCCATGGCCTAGGGCAGGATACGAGGGCTGCAAGAGCTGCGAGAAGCGGCAATAGTCATATAAAGGCATTCGTTACTGACCTATATTTTTATTTGATTTAATAATTAATTCTAGGTGGTGCAAATCGTAATTGGCCCGGTGTGACAGATTTTAGAAAACCGCCCTTGAAATAATAATTGACATGAAAAGCTTTATAGGTTATAGCTACTAATATCATAACAATACAATAATGTATCTATCTTATTAAAAACAAATTGTTTTCGCAACTCATTTTTTTACCTATCGACACAATAGGAGGTAGGTGTGTTGTCTACCTGTCAATAGAATTATATCACACTGATCCAATTTTATATTACGAAATGAGTCTACGCTTTAATTAATACAAACAGGCGTGAACGAAACTAATCTTATTTTCAATAGATACAGCTGCCTTAGTAAAGTTATGTTATCTGCTTTAGTCCGGTTCAAATACGATGCGTTCAATAAAATACGCTCTACTTACATTGTTTTTTTTTAAATATTGCTTCTGATTTGACCTAACGTGCTAACGCTGCAGATAAATGGGAAACAGTACTTACTTTCCTTCAATGTTGTCATCCTATTTTCTTTTTATTTTTTACGTCGTTTGCACACTATTCAATAATCAAGTCCTAGGAAGCGACGATCAACCATATGTGATAGAACGTCCTTATCCTTCATTCTTTTTTTTTTGAAGTGAAACTTCTTTACGCACGCTTTACTTGGGGGTAAGCTCGCGAATGCGTTACGCGTTACGAAAAGTGTGTTCGGGTGAGGCGAACAGTAGTAGTAGGATATCAGCAAGAGAAAGCAGTGCGCGCGCACATTTTCTTTCTTTCTTTCTCTTATAGCTAGTACATGAAATATGCATATGTACATACATGTACATATTGTATACACACACTTATATATGTATATATACATACAGATGCAGCTAAAGAAGTTTCACTTCAGTCGTGTGGTCATAAGCAAACTGCTTTTTTTATTATCGCGAGCATAATTATGATAAATATACGTTGGTAGGCACCTGCGTTCAAAATATTCTTAAAAAACTATACTAATTAAACGTTTTTCCTCTTTTACAGAAATTATGGTGCTGGTTAGCAGTGTTATTTGTGGCGTGGAGGCAAGCTAGCGGGCACGGTAGGCTGGTGGAGCCACCGTCGCGCGCCTCCGCCTGGAGGTACGGCTTCGACACACCGCACAACTACAACGACCATGAGCTCTACTGCGGCGGCTTTTCCCGCCAATGGAACAAGAATGACGGCAAGTGCGGCATCTGCGGCGACGCCTGGGACGCCCAGCTGCCGCGAGCTCACGAATACGGCGGCAGATTCTACAAGGGAGTCATCGTCCGCAAATACGCCCCCAAGGACGCAATACAAATCAAAGTGGAACTCACCGCTAGCCACAACGGCTTCTTCGAATTCAGACTGTGCGACCAATACAAAGGCACCACGCAGGAATGCTTAGACAAGAACGTTTTGAAACTAGATGGTAGGGAAGCTACCAAGTTTTACCCGAGAGACGGCAACAAAATGTACGAAATGAAGTACCGACTGCCGGAGGACTTTGAGTGCTCACACTGTGTACTGCAATGGAGGTACATAGCTGGTAACAATTGGGGGAAGTGCGAGAACGGAACGGAAGCGGTTGGGTGCGGACCGCAGGAGGAGTTCAGGGCGTGCGCTGATATTGCTATCGGAGATAAATTCGCCACGACTACAAGGAGGCCACGACCTCCTTACGTGCCACCGAACAGGAGACCGACTGTGCCGACTCCCGAACAATCTACTGGCACTGCTTGGTATGGCATACTCGTCGCCATTGTGGCGCTGTTCGTCGCGCTGGGCTTGCTCGCCGGAATATACTTATATTACTACCGCGGTGGTATGAAGATAAAGAGCCTGCTGAAATCCAAAGTATCCCAGCCCGCCCCAGTCCCACCACCGAGGCACAAACGTGCCTCGCTTTCAAGGGAACAACCGCCAGAACTAATGCCTTCTAAGGTAGATAATTTACCTGAGTCCGGTTTTGAAACAGTGGATCTACGTATTAAATGATTCTATTAGTCTTTGTTTAGTAGTTAAGTATTTAAATTTTCTAGAGGCTCCCAGATAGGATAAATCACCTAACACTGCCTATACAGTGATATTTTTATTTGTGGTATGTAATGTAAGTAAAACAAACATAGTTTTAGTGAATGTATGACGATTGTATGCGAGATATTTGAGTGAAATAGTTGTAAGTTAGGTTTTTTACTGTAAATTTTATTTATTTTATAATAAATCTTTACAAAATGTTACAATTGATTTCATTTTCTCACATGCTTTTATCACCCATAAATATAAAAAACCTTAGTTAATATGCTCTAATGCATACGTATATACTCTAAGATAAAAATGGATCAAAGGAACTACGTAAAATTACTTTTAAAATATTCCGATAATGCCTTGAGCCTTCCCCCCAGGAAGGTGCCCCCTTGCCCCTTAATAGGCTGTCGTCTTCATCATAATCATCATCATCCCGCATCATTTCCCTGATGGACATTCCAACTTGGTCTTGGTTGGTTGGTCTTTCCAACGGCACACCATGGAGCTCGTTTCTTCAGGTCACCTAAAGTAATGAATTATGATATCCCTAATAAATGTCCCCACTGTATGGACATTGGCCTATCCTATGAATGGAATAGGGGCAAGCCAAATTGACTATGGCCTAATGCAGATTGGTGGGTGCAAACTCTTTTCTTTTAAAGATACACAAAAATCATATATGATGGAATTTTTCCCCTTTAGAAGTACTGTAAAAGAGTCCACGACAACCTATGTCCATATTTTAAGTTAACTCACTATAAACCTTTTTTTTTTTCAAATTAACGCGGGTGACACCGCAGGGGACCGCTAGTTATGACATAACTGTAATAGTTAGATGTATGGTATCGCGGACTTTTTTTAGATATTGGTATCCTGTATAAAACTTTAGTACATCACTTTGCTCTATTGTCAATGACTTCCGTAGCGTACGCGATATCAGGCTACTATTTGGTATTTTTTACACACGTTGAGTTACATTATCGAAGTTTTCATACGGAACCCTAACTTTTTGAAAATACACTATGGCCCATATTAATCAGTGAAAAAGTAGCTTTCAAATGGTGAAAGAATTTTTAAAATCGGTCCAGTACTTTTTGAGCCAATTCGTTAGAAACATACATACAAATTTTTCCTCTTCATAAGAATAGTAAAGATAGATATAGGATATAGGTTAAAACAAGGGTATGGCCCGCTTGATGGTAAGTGGTCAGCATAGCTTATAGACGCTGCTTGCGATACCAAAAATATGACTTGCACCGTTCGCTGACTTAATCCCCTACTCCGTGAAGCCAGATCCTTGTCTCACCGACATAAACACAACACTACCAAAAGGTAGTGTTATTTTACCGTCTTATCTTCTGTAAGGTGGATGTTACTTCCCGAGACGGGCGCTCCCATACCCGTCTTTCCCAGTGGGCATTTTGGGCAAGTGCCCAGGGCACCGCGATCCTGTTAAATCACCACATGGAAGTCATAGGGGCCCCATTATCCTAATATGCCCAGGGCCTCCAATACGTCAAAGACGGCACTGGGCGCTCCAATTTAAGAGAAAAATCCGCTATACCCTACCTGTCTTGCGTAAACTGCTAATGCTGCTTAACTACTCCAGAGCTCGAGAAAATTTTTGGTAACCTAATCTATGACCTGCCAACGAGAAAGTGGGGTATTTTACACTGATCAATATTATTATGATAATAGGATCGCAGTATCACGCAGTATAAGTCGCGGCACGAAACTCTAGCGCTGACCGATATTGCGCAGAAGTAAAAATTAAGATGTCTTGGGCGGAAACGAGGTGCACGAGTGAGCGTGCGTTGCACCGATTAGCTCTCCAGTCGTACTCATCCGCAGCTATTCCCCTGCGTTTTGTTCAGCGCTAGAGTTACGTGCCGCGACCTGTATCCTTGTACGGTGATAATGCGATACGGCATAACTGTCAATAATATCACGATATTGGTATCGATTTTGGCACTTCAGTCTCTCCTTTTCATTCTGTATAAAGAAATACTAACAAGGATACACTATTGCCAAATTTAAGTTTAGGTTTAGATAATCAACACCATTATCGACAGTGTAATCTGCCCCAATGGCTTAACTTCTACGATCACTTATCAAACGTGCTAACCACTTCGCCGTCAGTCAGCACCTATCCGATTTAACGAAAAAAGTATTCATTAGCGGAGTTGAAAAGAATTACAGGAACTCCTCTGTGGAAACGTACCCTTAAACGTTATTACAGTCCATAAAATGTGAATAATAAGATCTTCTATTGTGGTGACAAGTGGTTCAAGAAAAAGCAATAATCTTTAAGGTCTGTAATCTTTAAGCAATAAAGGTCTTTTTTGGAAAAAAGGAAAGGAAGAAAAGGTTTCTAAAGACGTGGCTGTATGAACTTACAATCTATTACGAAAAAAAATTAAGAAAAAATAATGTTTATGAGTTTTTGGCGGGATTTCATCGAGTGCGGTTGGCTTCTTATTTTAATTATTCTGAAATTCGTTAATAGTGGATATTGTGAAATAAAATTGGTATGATATGTTAGAACCGTCTGCGCAACTGAAAAATTAGTGGACTCTTTAAAATATACGCTATTCCGGTCAAGTGGACGTGAGAACTTAATTGTAGTGTTGACTACCACACAGAAGCTTATCGAAAAAGCCAACTCGATACATTTCGTGTCAAACATTCCTAGAAACATTAGAAGGCGTCACACCGACATTCTAATGTAAAAAAAAAGATAATAGAATTTAAAACTAGGCTACATGGGTATTGTTTCCTTTGCCTTCACTGAAAAGGGAACATATTAAAAAAAAGGTTCTTTTTAGGTCTGGCAACAATTATATGCTTTACGTCACTGTCAGTTCCAACCAAAGACAAAAATCGCAAAACAAACGTGCTGTAAAAAGCAGAAAAAAGAACTCGAAAAGTTCAATAAAATTTATTATAAAATATTTATAAATGAAAAATGGCGGTGCGCCCGCAGCACATGCATGACGGCGGTATTGTTGAGCGTCGGTTGCGTCCAATTTACGGTAAAATTTATGATCAAATCTGGTGGTGTTTTCTGACCGACCTCCCCTGGAGCTGGAGTGCTAATTATCAAAAATAAATCGATTCAAACATTTCGCAGATTGGCTAGACAATGGAAATAATAAGAAAGCTCTTCAGGAAGCGGAGAAAGTGCTCAAGAAGAGTCCTTCATTACAAGCGGCGCGGGCGCTGAAAGCATTAGCACTTTTTAGGTTAGGGAAGAGAACTCAGGCTCATGCCCTGCTAGACGAACTGGCAGCGGAGAAACTTAGCGATGATACAACACTGCAGGCGATGACAATATCATATAGGGAATCCCAACAGTGTAAGCTATTTTATACATTTTTTTTAATATATTGTAATCTAATACCAGTAGTATTTTTGGAGTCATCTGAAAATATCCTCAGGAGATTGTATTTATACGGGGTAAATTTATTATAATTAGTTGTTGTAAACTTCTAAGTGAATACCTCATTGTTATTCATTATCGCTGAGATCTGTTTAATTTGTATATTTTTTTATATCTTTAGTGAGATAAATTTATGTCCTCTGTGATATAGCCTTAATGTTTATGTGAAGGATTGATAATGTTGGTTTTTATGCAGACTAAGAAATTAAATAAAAAGTTTGTGTGTAAGAGGAAAGGGAAATGGTAGGTAACATAGTTTCAGTAGTCAATTGTGTTACAAAACAAAATTAACCATAAAATGAATTGCTACTTAGTATAGTTACTTTATTTATTGTTATAAGAAATGCTAGAAAGAATTAGACACCACCATCAGGGCTGCTGTAGCATAATGGTCAGTGCATTCACCTGGACAGCAAATTTGCAGATTCGAGTCCCGTCTGCTGTCTGGTCTGCATGATTTTTTTTCTGGCTATATTTTCTTTACTTTCTTTATTGATTAAGAATTAATTAATATAAATACACAGACAACTTAAAAACTACTTATTATGCAAATAACCTTAACCTAGATAAGCTAGTAAAGTTATTTATATTGTTTGTCAATTTTTAAAACCTAGTGTCAGAAGTTCTTTTATATATAAGTGGAATAATTAATTTCCCTCAAGCTAAGGGTTCATATTTATCTATTACTGGGTTATGTTTTATGCCATTACTATTGTCATTTTTACATTCTTAAAGGTAGACTAATAGAGAATAACTTTTGGCTGAATGTCCACAATTTTAATTATAAAGTAGAAGTAAAATTACTCCTTCCTAAAACCAAATTTTGCCTCAACCTCTTGTCAAAAATAACAGTAATGCCTATTAAGGCAGCAGCCTATGCTTGTTTCTGTAACCAACTATCTGTGAATCCAATCCTATCGTCTCCCTATCTATTGATATTATTATTAGACTTTTAAAACCTATGGTGTGGCGTGGTAATACCACATTTAGGCCCATATTATAGAAAGATTCTCAATGATTGATCTAGTCTTGAGCATAGTTAGATAGGAATGTCGCTATATATAGCACATAGCAACATCCCTTTCCAAAAATTCATCTTAAGATTCATAAAATTATTTTGATAAATTATTATATATACCTCATTTTAATTTAAAGGAAAAAAAAGAAACTTTTAAGTTTGTTATCATTCAAATTAAATTAAAATTTTATGATGTTAGATCTCAATCTTGCACTTTTATTATTGAGTAACACAAAAATATATATTTACAAGTTACAATATATATTCTTAATTAAAATTGTTTTGCTATTTCAGTACATAAGGTGTGTGAGCTTTACGAATCGGCAGTAAAGGTGGAGCCATTGAATGAGGAGCTCCACTCACATCTGTTTATGTCCTATGTGCGTGTAGGAGACTATCGCTCACAGCAGAGAGCAGCAATGGCACTGTACAAGTTTGCACCGAAGAACCCTTATTATTTTTGGGCTGTAATGAGTATTGTTTTGCAGGTTAGTTTTTTAATGCCTAATAATAAGCTTTTGTCATCGACTCCTTTAAACAATATTGCATAGAAATTTACAAGTATGATTTTCATTATAAAATGCTTGTTATAATAGTTTCCATTTACTTATTGAAATGAAATGGCATCCATTTGTTTATTAGTGTATATACTATGTATTAGTATGGTCTAGGCACATAATCACAATCTAATAATCAACTCACAAAATATATATAGAATAATATATCTCCAACAGTTTTTGATGAATGCAGCACTTGACTTGTCTGTTTTATGGTTTCATAGACTTGATGTATTGGATATTAAAATATCCTAGAAGTTGAAACAAAAATATATAATTTTATACTTTTTTGTTATAGTTTGCTTAAGATTTAAAATAAAACTTTTGAACTTTTAAGATTAGGCATACATTATTTTTTGTATTAGAGGTTAAACGATTTTCAATTTTAACCACATTTTAATGGATTCAGGCCAAAACTTCAGAGGATGCAACCAAAAGGGGCATTTTACTATCTCTAGCACAAAGAATGGTTGACAATTTTATTACTGAGAACAAAATGGAGGCAGAACAAGAGGCGCGTCTTTACATCATGATCTTAGAGCTCCAGGAGAAATGGGAAGACATTCTTAAATTTATTGAAAGCCCATTATATTCCCAACTGGTGCCAGGCTCCAGTGCACAAGCGTGCATCCCATATTTAAAGAAATTAGGCCAATGGCGAAGACTGAATCTGTTGTGCAAAGACTTGTTGTGGGACAACCAAGATAGGTGGGACTATTATCTTCCATACTTTGACTCTGTCTTCCAGTTGATGAAAGAGGGTGAAGGGGAAGGTGAGGGTAGTGCTGATGATACCGCTGAAAAATGTCACGAGTTTATATGTCAACTTGTTGAAAGCATGACCAGTGGCAGGACTTTAAGAGGGCCTTACTTAGCAAGACTGGAATTATGGAAACGGTTGTCAGAAAGTGGGGATCCAACTTCCCTGCTGGGTTCTGGGGTAGCGTTGTGTGTGCAGTATTTACGTGTGTTTGCTAATAAGCCATGTGCTGTGCCAGACTTGAGACCGTATATGGCGATGTTGCCGCAGAAAGAAAGACAGGAGCAATCTAGGGATTTTCTTACTTGTCTAGGATTCGAGGAGAAGAGCGAGCCTGAGACGGTAAGTAAAATATTAAACCTAAAGAAATATTTACTAAATAAAAATTCATTTCGAAATATTATAAAATAGCATAATTTGTTAGTGCATCTGCTCAGATATAGGAAGGTGCAGGTTTGAATCCTGTCTGATGCCTGAAAGTGAGATATTTTCTAGTAAAATTTCTGAAACATATCTGATATCATTTTATAAAGTAATAATGAAATTAAATTTCATGATATACCTCTTTTTATAATTCTTATATTAGTAATTCTAATTGAAAAATATATATTAATATAGTTTTTGAATTTTATAAAGTAACATGTATGACAATCTTTAATAGTTTATTTAAATTATAATAATAATTTAAGGTAACTTGCAACACCCTTGCAGGGTGTCACATATTTGTGTAAAATTTGTTGACAATACCGGTATTATTTATTCTAGACCATGGACGTCCAACGCCACATCTCGTGTTTGGCCGCGTGGCGGCTTGCAGCCGCGCCAATGACTGCTGAAGAGTGTCTGGAACTAGCGAATACTTTAAGAACTCACTACTTACGTAGCTTCAGTAAGGGGCTGCTCACTGCCACCCTGACCGAGTTCTGTGCCACTGATGGTTACGGCATTCTTGCGGCACACCATTACTTCTACGCAGGTGAGAATTTCACACTTTTAACTTGATAAATACCATACCAGCCCCCCTAGCATGTGCACCGCGGTATGATATATAACGCGTTTTTATCACGCTCAATCGTCAAATTACTATGGAGTTTGACAGTCAGACGCGATAAAAAACGTGATATAATGTAAATTGTGGTGCTCATGCTTTGGGGACAGGTGAATTTTTGACTTTTAAAACTGGATAAAATACTATGACGATAAGTGTCTGGAACTAACGAACACTCTCCGAGCTCACTATTTACATAGCTTCAGTAAGGTGCTGCTCACTGCCACCCTGACCGAGTTCTGTGCCACTGATGGTTACGGCATCCTTGCTGCGCACCATTACTTATATGTGGATAAGAATTTTACTCTTTTAAATTGATAAATACCATGCCGGATGAGTTTTTGACTATTAAAACTTGATAAAATACTATGTTGATGAGTGTCTGGAATTAGCAAACACTCCCCCGAGCTCACTATTTAGTTCTGTGCCACTGATGGTTGCGGCATGCTTGCGGCACACCATTTCTTTTAAGCGGGTAAGAATTTTACACTTTTAACTTGATAAATATCATGCCGGGTGATTTTTTGACTATTAAAACTTGATAAAATACTATGTCGATGAGTGTCTGAAATTAGCAAACACTCTCCAAGCTCACTATTTACGTATCATTGGATGGGTGACTAAAATTTACTATCTCGAGGTCCTCCGTGCTTCGGAAGGCACGTTAAGCCGTTGGTCCCGGCTGCATCTGCAGTAGTTAGCACCACCAATCCGCACTGGGCCCGCGTGGTGGGTCATGGCCAATCTCCCTATTCCATCCATAGGGAAGGCCTGTGCCCCATTAGCGGGGACATTAATAGGCTGATGATGATGACGATGAATTAAAATTTGTTACAGCAATGCAGCAGAAAAGCACCGCGCCTGTGGTTGAAGCCTTATGTCTGTTAGAGCTGGTGTTGTCTCACTCGCCAGCCAACTTTCATGTCAAACTTCTTCTAGTCCATTTGTATCATTTCTTAGGTGAGTTAAGTTCTATATAAATCTATAAGTAGTAGTGTAATAAAGAGGTAAAATTTGTTAGGTTGTAGGGAGTAATCTCTGGATGTGGATTGAAAATTCTGTTACCAATAGAAATCTACGTTATTTATAAGTGTCATAGACTATAATATGAAGAGCTGGCGAACAAAACGGTATAATTACATAAAATCAAATTTCACTTAGGAGCTGTCTAAAACTGAATGACATACCTACAGTGAGTTTTTGGCATGGTTTTTAATTTATAAATTTAGTAATTTTAACACTGTTTCAGGCGGTTTTGATTGAAAATTATTTGAGATTCAAGTTCAAAAGGCCCGATCTTGGGCTACTCACATCCAGCTCCTGCCAGTCTTGTATGCAACTGTTTAAATAGGTTTTAAAACACTCATGTGATAATATTATCACACTCTGCTTTGCCTCGTAGGTTAAAAAACCCTCATTCGGTTTTGAATATCACTCATTATACAACAGGTGCATAAATAACTTTGATTCTATCATAACTTATAACTATTTAGTCAGATAAACATATCACTAAATTGCGACCGTAAGATGGTAATGAATCGCTTTCGTATAAATATATTAAGGTATATAATTATATTCCTAGGGATATAATTATATTACGGATTTAACTATCATACTGCGACATATATAAACAGCCATGACTTAGTTAGTACAAATGCTTGTATTCATCATAGTAACATTTGCCCACCGGTATTCGAACCCAAAATCTCTAAATAGGCGACACCTTGAAATCTAGTGTACCTCGTATGTACGTACATAATGTCTGTGACGAAGCCGTTTAACTTCTATTGTAGAGTTTGAAAGAAATCCGTTTGAATTTTTATCCTTAGCAGCGTTTAAAAAGTCCATTAAATTGGTATTTGTCGTTTTCGAACTAATATATGCTATGTATTTCATATTTTAACTATTAAACTAGATTAGATAATTAAAATTACTATGTAAATTTTCGAATACTTATATGTTTTGCACATAACAGATATCGGTTTGATAATTGGACATTGTCAACATTAGTAAAAAGTATAGAGGTATAAGAATAGAGTAGGGGAGATAGAGACTCCACAACAAGTGGAAGTGTCCCTCTAATAGAAAGAGAAAGAAGATGAGAGACCGCTAGCTTTTCTCTCTAATTGCGCATGCGCATTGGCAACCGTAAGCATCTTACTATTTCGATGTGATGCTTGGACTAACTATTGGATAGACGACTGCGCGTCACAAGAGATAGAGATAGCTAGCGGTCTCATCTTCTTTCTCTTTCTACTAGATGGACACTTTTAGAGCCGCCTTCCCCACTCTATGGTGAAAAGTCCTTGTGATTTGGTATCAGGTAACGCGTACGCGGCTGACAGTATATACCAGCGCTTGGAAACGAAGCACGTACAACTGGTATCGCTGGGTTGGTTGCACGCGGCACGCGTTTCGACCGCGTGCGCTCCTTCAAGGGCGTTACAACTGCTGGCAGCCACTGCAGGCTTCTATACGCACCACGCTAAAGATGTGAGTATATCACTACATAGTATAAAGCAAAGTCGCTTCCCGCTGTCTGTCCCTATGCCCCTATGTATGCTTAGATCTTTAAAACTACGCAACAGATTTTTTTAATAGGTAGAGTGATTCAAGAGGAAGGTTTATATGTATAATACATGCATAATATAGTAGAGAAACACTGATAATTTTAGAGGTTTTTAATATAAGGTCGTAACTAAAAGTATTGTACACCTTAAAAAGGTCTACAATAAAGTCCGCGGTGGTATATGCCTATCTCTTAGGGATAACCCACAATAACCATTTTTTATCCTATACTTTTTACGAGAAATAATAGATTATTTACGAAGCGATTTTCAGCAATATGACATTCATCCTTATTCAACTAAATACGTTGTGCATTTAATAAAGACCAATTTGGCTCTTTAACGCATGTAATTTAAATGAATAGTTTCCAAGATTACATTACAGATTTAAAATGCAGGGACATAGCGGTTCCGACGATACCGGGCGGGGGGCCTGGCGGCGCGGCCTATTGTAATTAGGTATTAGAAGAATGTCATTGTGTATAATACAAGACTGAGAACAAAAACTATAGTCTACACTACAGCTCTACACCGAAGCGAAGCGAGGGCGGGCCACTAGTCTTCTATAATATAAAAATGAATCGCTGAATGTGTTGCTAAGCGCAAATTTCGAGAACAGCGGAACCGATTTTGATAATTCTTTTTTTAGAATATTCCTTGAAGTACGAGGATGGTTAATATAGGAGAAAAATTAAAAAAATTGCCTGAAAATGTCAAAAACACAATACTTTTCTATACTCCCATACAAACGAATCGAAATAATACTTAAAAGTCAATTTGAGCTTTAATACCATACCATAAATTTCAAATGTTAGTGGAGAGGTTCCGGGAATGCAAAACAATTGAGTGACGTGATGTCAACAGAAGTTTGGAAAAGACAAATATGTATACCATTTTCAGTATTTTTTTTTATAATTATATGAAGAGTAATTTTAAAAGTCTACACTACAGCTCTACACCGAAACGAAACGAGGGCGGGCCACTAGACTATAATATAAAAATGAATCGCTGAATGTGTTGCTAAGCTCAAATCTCGAGAACAGCTGAACCGATTTCGATAATTCTTTTTTTAGAATATTCCTTGCAGTACGAGGATGGTTCTTATAAGAGAAAAATTAAAAAATATCCCTGAAAATGTCCAAACACAATACTTTTCTATACTCCCATACAAACGATTCGTAATAATACTTAAAAGTCAATTTGAACTTTAATATCATACCATAAATTTCAAATGTTAGTGGAGAGATTCTGGGAAGGCAAAACAATTGAGTGACATGATGTCAATAGAAGTTTGGAAAAGGCAAATGTACTATTTTCAGTTTTTTTATAATTACATATATGAAGAATCATTTAAATCTACACTACAGCTCTACACCGAAGCGAAGCGAGGGCGGGCCACTAGTTGTTTATATAATAAAAAGCATTTATTTCAGACACGAGATCCATATCTTTAGAAAAACAATACAACAATTACATTAAAATAAATAATAATAGTAACAAAACAATATATTTAAAAAACACATGTAAAACTAAATTGAAATTGAACAATGAATTAAAAATTAATAAATTAAAACAGAATATATATATTTTTTTTTGGTTACATGGAAGATCAACAGCTTATCTTAATATACTAGAAATGAATAGTAGCGACAAAGAGCCAATTACAGGTCCTCACATCTAGACATAACTTAAACTTATAAAGAAACTATTTGCACTGTCCAATGTAAAAAATCTATAAATGAGGTCCTTATGATAAATAACAGAATAACAAATTACGCACATGTTAATTACTAACACTTGTCTATGGAATTAAAGTCTGGAATAAATGTTTATTATTATTATTATATTAATTATAATCTCCAAAAAACAAACAAGCAATGATACGTCATATCGACGCTTCGCTAGTGTTAAAAATATCTAAATTTACCTGTTTTTATAGTGAGTTGATGCTTTGTAGAAGTAGGGCGGATACTTAAAATAGGATTAATCCTAAGGGGTTTTGGGGGGAACTCCAAACAAGATCTTTGATAGGAGTTCAGGGCAGTCAACAGCCCCAGAAGCGATGCTACTGAGGAAAACTAAATCCGCAATTTCGCGACGCATCTTTAAAGGGAGAAGATGATGATGTAAAACATTCAGTCAAATTATGTTCAATAATTAATTTAAATTCTCAAATTATATATTATATGTCATCATCATCATCACCAGTCTATTATTGTCCCCACTGCTGGGGCACAGGCCTTCCTTATGGACGGAATAGGTAGATTGGACCATTTCCTAACACGCGGGCCCAGTGCGGATTGGTGGGGTGCTAACGACTGCAGATGCGGCCGGGACCAACGGCTTAACGTGCCTTCCGAAGCAAAGAGGAGCTCGAGATAGTAAATTTTTGGTCACCCATCCAATGACCGACCACTGTGAAAGTTGCTCAATTTCAACGCGATAGTCACTTGCGCCATCGACATCCTTGTCTATATGAATGCGATTGTTACGTGTGTGACTGTATGTGTATGTGTGCGTGTGTGCGTGCGTGTGTGTGTGAGTGCGTGCGTGCGAGTGTGTATATATCTTCGATCACAGAAAGACTAGATACAGTACTTCATACTTCAACTATTACTAAATGCGTCGGCGCGACATTAGTAGTGTGTGTATCGCGTGATATATTACCGTTCAGCTTCAAGAGATCGCTAGCAATGTACTGCTATCCTTTTTTCGCGCACAGTGATCTCGTATTGCTTGACCTTTCGTTTCACGCACACATTTACGTGCTCCAAAATAGGCGAATGTGGGCGCGCGTATTCGATATGTTATGTGTGCGTGCCGAGGCTCAAAACTATGGATTCATATTCATAGCGGCTTTTATTATTTTTTTATTATTGTAGTATAATTAAATATCAGATGTATAATAAAAATGCAATAAAATTACAATAATAATAGTATTATATGATAGAATGTGAAAAAAAGCATTGAAAATTATTAAGTTAAAAAGTAGTGTTTTGGGGTTTCAAAGTATTCAGTATCGCTCCCTATCCGTGCCCTAAGCACGAACTTTTGACAGATGCGTAACCCTATCGAAATCGTCAAAATTTCTATGGAAAGAGCCAGTTTGTTCTTACGTTCGGTAGGGGCGCTGCTTAGTTTCCATAGAAACTTTGACTGTGGCGATACGTTTACGGATCTGTCAAAGTTCGTGCTTAGGGCACAGCTGTCGATAGAAAGTAAAACCTGTTTTTTATTGCATATTAAAAGAGGTTGCAACCATACAGAATACAGATAATTTGAGTGCGGGAATGAAAATTATAGTATTATGTCGCTATGGCTACTCCCTTCCGTGTTGCTCTATGAAATAAATGAATTAGACAGGAAGATCAAAGTATATCTTCTATCATCGAAATAAGTTGGTAAGTAAGTTGTTAAGTAAGTTGAACTTTTCAGTAAGGATAAGGTTAAAACATAAACAATTGAAATTATCATAAATTGCAGGTTTATTATATAAAAATTCTCTATTTATAATTTTAAATGTATTGGCAAAATTTCATGTACCTTTAAAAAGTGTCAGTTTATTAAAAACTTGTCTCTTAGTTTTGATGTACGACTCCTTTTTTGAATTATAATAAAGACGCAGACTAACATACTCTTCAATCATACTTCTTACCAAAAATATCCGATGATTATAAGTGGCCGGTTGCTCCAACGAGTGCCCTTCAAGGCACTGGAATATTTCTTTATATGCATACATGCAACTTTTGAAACACTGCAAGCAAATACGAGCGTAATAGTTTCTGTCAGAAGCTTTGACTCGTTCCTTGAATATTTTTCTAAGAACCATTTCACTGTTGATGCAAACTTTATAAACATCGACAGACGGATAAATCAGTCCACCAAAGTTTTTCTTATCAATCAGCTTATGAAAATATAACCCACTTGGCGTAAAAAGACTGTCAGAGCATGATCGACATTTAATTTTTCGGTTAATTTTTTTAGATACAAAACCTGATATGTACCCCACTATTTGCTCAATACTTTCCGGTGGCACTGAAGCATCCAACATTTCATTAAATATGTCACAATTTTTTCCTTCCTGCGTATCCTTCTCAAACGCACCCTCTGTTTCTTCATCTTCTTCAAATCGATAGCCAGTTACAGTACGATTGATTGTCGATACAGCTGATGAACAATTTAAAATTGGATAATTTTCCAGAAGGATGCAGTTTCCAGTGAAATTTGATTTCAGTTCGAAGTGGTTAAGCAGTTTTCTGAAAGCACCGCGTAGTTGACGGGCATCAGGGTTATTGTTGTGCCCCCCATGACTTCGAATATTACTGAAAAATAATTCTACGTGGTCCTGTGAGTACTTATATGATGGAAGATACTGTATCACTTCAGCCTTCTCAATCAGTTCTACATATAAATTTCTTAAACTGTTAATACAAATAATTAACCCAATAAATCCTGTTTTATTTCTAGTTTCAGTGATCGGTTTTTGATAAATGGTAGTTGTACTTATTTTCTTTTTTTTATACGTCTTTACATGTGTTATTGGCACTTCTATCTTTAATGCTTTTAAATATTGTTCGGCTTCGTTCAGTAGTCTAAAATGTTGTTCTTTGTTTTTTGCACAAATTGGCTGTTTGTAACCGTTATTTTTGATTGATCTAGAATTTAAAACGTCGAATAGGTCATTCATTATTTGCACCATTTTAGTAGTTGCTGAAGCATCATTGAACGTAGATAATTTAAGTTCATTTTGACACAAATCCAAAGTACTTGCAACGCTTCTGCTAAAAAGTTGGGTAGCGAGTTTAACTTTCATGATTTGGTTACGAAATTTTATGTGTTGTTCAGTGACCTTGTTTGCAAAATGCATGCCTAAGTTATCCTGCAACTTTTGTAACTCAACGAGATATTGCCATTGTATAATTTTTCCATTTGAATCTATAAATTCCTTTTTTGACTCCAATGTATTTCTAACCAACTTGACCATATGACATGGATCAAGCATCAAGTAAACGTTTGTGCTATTGTCACTTGGATGTGGAAAGTGCGTTTTTAAATTATGAGTGTCATCTAGTTTACAGCCCAATTCGTTGGCAGCTGCAAAATTTGAGGCGCATCCATCAAAAGTAAGCGTTTTTACTATGGCTCCAACTTCGTGACATTTTTCTAACGTTCTTTTGATAATATTGGCTCTTTGTTCGCCTGAAAAGCCATTTACTAAAAAATACCCCAAAGGTAATTTAAAAGAATCGTTTATTGGCACTAAAATGACACAGTATGCTTGAGTTGCTATTTCCTCTGTATTTTCTCCGAATGAAACTAATCCTTCCATGAATTTCCCGTTGAAAATCTTTTTTTGCCTAATGGCCATTTCATCCACTATCAAGCAAAATCTTAATTGTCTGTCAGTAGTTGCAACCACTTTAACTTGTAATGCCCGAAATGCCTCCTCCGAGAAACCTGGTTTCCCATCTATGCTTTGATACCACTTATTAAGCGTCGACGGATGTGGTAAACACGAGTCAAATACCCTTCTAACGTACTTGTATCCAGCTGGTGAAAGAAAGTCTAGGGTGAGGGCAAATTTTCTTATGAATGCAGGATATTTCAATGTTGTTCTCTTACATTTCTTTTTTTTTAAATGCATCCTATTAAATATCTCAGCTGCCATTATATTATTATTAGAAAGTTTTTGTTCATCGTCACTAGTAATATATTTTTTTTCTTTAAGATCTTTTATTATTTTCTTCAAAGAGCAGTTCTGTTTAATCAATCTTCTATTTATTCTCTGCACTTTTTTCAATTTTTTTAATCGAAGGTCAGCGAGCATAGTTTTTTTTCTTAATTTTGTTTTATGGGCATACGTTTTTGGAGATTCTAAATATGAATTTATATCTGAATAAGATGAAATTGGAGAATTAATATTTTCTTGCAAACAGCTCTGCATAAATGTATTGTTAGGTTCCTGATGTTCACAATTTGGTTGAAAAGCAAACTCTTCAGTTGTTCTAGTTGGTTCTTTGTTAATAACTACATTTTTAAGTTCAGTGAATGTTGTATTCAAAAGATTATGTGATGTAAATGACGTTGAATTAGTTAAATCTTGTAACGGTTCACGCAATAAATAGTCACTCGGTGCTTTGAGAATTTCAATAGACTTGAATGTTTGAGACTCGGATGAACAGTATCTTTGAGATGAAGTACTTGGTTTGTCTATTTCAAATGTGTCGATATGTTGTAGATCTTGTGGCTGGCTGGAATGATTCTGCAAAAAAATATTGAAATAATTAACACAAACAACTTAATTGGTCGTTAGCCCGTATTCGGGTGCACGAAAGACGTTACTGGAATTCGGCCACCCGATGCAATAATTACATTGTTTTTACTCGAACACGGGCTGGAAGACGGCGTCGGGTAAACAAAACGAAAACTGTCCGATATGGGCGACTCGACTCCGTTCATTTACACTTAGTCGTTTGTCCGAATTCCATAGGCAATCGTATTCGGGCTAACGACCAAGTGTAATTGCGCCATCAGTCACCTAAAACACCTAGTTTTAAGATCTTTTCCAGGATCATACACGTTCATAACTTAACATATCTAAAATTTATTTGAATTTCTTTTAACACCTAGTTTTAAGCTTTTTTCCAGGATGATACACGTTTATAACTTAACTTAGCATATCTATCATTTATTTGAATTTATTTAACACCTTGTTAGTGTATCATATAATTATAACTTATCTATCATATAACATTAACTCATTTGAAACTTCGTTAAACAAACTTTATAGGTATTTATCTTTAGGCGTGAAAAGGAACACAGAGAGACCGAGTCACCTCTGTATTTATAATATGTAAAAGTGATATAGGTACTTACCACTAGTTTATATTTAGGTAAAGCTGTTTTCTTTAATCTCCGTAGGCCTTTGTTAGTGGTATAAAAATCCGATTCATGAAAATGTAAGGAGCAAATAGAGGCACGTTTTGAAGGTCTCCAATTGGGATTCCTTGTAAAGAGTATGGCATTAATCCAATTTTCTCGCCTCTCTGCCGATTGTGGAAATCTAGATAAAATTAAATTAATAACGAGATTAAAAATTAAAAGAAAATGATCATAACAAGTTTGTTAGATACACGTTTTTTTTATCTGATACACTCACACCTCAAACTAAGCAGAGTTTGTACTATGAGAGCTAGGTAACGGATATTAATACATAATGTCATATAAACATCTATGACTCTGGTGCAAATGTCCGTATTCATCACACAAACATTTTCCCTTTACGGGTTTCGACCCCGCGACCTATGGTTCTGTTCCATAGGTCGCGGGTTCGAATCCCGTTTATTAACCACTAAATCAACAGGCCTCTCAATATCCTATCTTACGTATTAAATCTTTACCATTCAAACATAAGAAAATAGTTTATTTTTTAAAGAAGCTGTCTCCACTTTACACAACCAGATGAAATGTATGAGAGAGTAATTTTTGTTTTTTTCTTATCAAAAATTGTATTTAAAAGCATACTCACTCATGAAATGTAATTCCAGTAGTTTTAGTGTGCTTTCTTGTATCACTTTTACATGTTTTGATCGTGCAAGTCGGCATTTTTGCAATATTAGTGACGAGAAACACTGCGAAATTGACGGGCGGTCGCGTAGCTGCCAACGACAGACTGAGCGGGCGATGAGTGGAGTTTTTAAATTGAGCGGAGTTTTCATGGAACGCGATTCGAACCTACTTGCTGTATCTAGTCTTTCTGTGATCGAAGGTATATATATATGAATAGTGTCGACCTTGTGTGCGCCTTTAAGGGTGTTATAACTACTGGCAGCCACTGTAAGCTGCTATACGCACCACGCTAAAGACGTGATTAAAATTTTATGTATAGTAATTCAGCCGTTCATCTCACCAAGGGCGAATTTTAAAATCTAGCGCCCCAGGTCACTAAAGATTTACCATCCCCCGCTCCCCTCAGAATTCCTTTTTTTTGTCTGGGAAATGCCTTACGCATCCCAGCAGGGGCGAATTTTAAAATCTAGCGCCCCAGGTCACTAAAGATTTGTATCCCCCCGCTCCCCCCAGAATTCCTTTTTTTTGTCTGGGAAATGCCTTACTCATCCTTCAACCACTGCCTTACGCATCCCAGCAGGGGCGAATTTTAAAATTAGCGCCCCAGGTCACTAAAGATTTGCTTCCCCCCTCTCCCCCCAGAATTCCTTTTTTTTGTCTGGGAAATGCCTTACTCATCCTTCAACCACCGGGGAAGCGAGAAGAAGGTATGTGGGACTCCCAGCTCTTACCTAAATCAAATCAAAATTTATCATGAGTAACAAATGCGTTTATATGACTTCTGCCTCTCCTCGCAGTGTATATGCGTGTGACATACGACATCGTTTCACCGAATTTCTCATACGTTTTTTTTTCATTACATATCAATTTATTTATATTGATAATTTGATAGTTTGACATTTCAATTATGTAATTTAACTTAATTTTAGTACAAATCTTAATATATATAAATCTCGTGTCACAATGTTTGTCCTCAATGGACTCCTAAACCACTGAACCGATTATAATAAAATTCGCACACCATGTGCAGTTCGATCCAACTTGAGAGATAGGATAATTTAAATCTCAAATTATAGTCGCAATTTTAATTTATTGCAAATTATTACTTTTGGGCGGTACGAAGTTCGCCGAGTCAGCTAGTATGATATATAAATTTTTGACATTTGTAAAATTATTATTTAAGTAGTATTTTCTTCTTTTCAACATCCTTAATTTGATACTTGTATTTTTTTAATGTTTTACTATAAAAGAAATTGTAAATAATGTAATAATATGTAAATAACTTCATAAATTCATATACCAGAATGGTGAAACATAGACAGGACTAATACTTTTATTGTAACATCATTATTGTACCTATGTTTATGAATAAATTAATTCTATTCTATTCTATTCTAAAAAAAAATCTATTCTAACAGAGCGTGGAACACCTAACGTATGCGTACAAGTACGGAACGTTCGAGAAGCTAGTAGAACTAAGGGCGTGGGGCTCCAGACTGGAGGCTTGCGTTTGGGGCGGGATCGCTGCCAGGGATCGGGCCCTGAACACCCTGCTGGCCGGGCCCGCCCCGTTACTGCATGCGCCGGCCGCTCCTCTACCTGAGAGCCCCGCGTAAGTACTATCTTGTATATCACACTAATATTATAAACAAACAAATACCTATATACAATAGGAGTAACAGGTAGCTTTCCAATTACAGCATTATAGCGCATTATGCGGCATAATGCTTAACGCTGAGTGTTTCAACTACAGCAACGCTTCGCACAATCGAGCACTCTCAAAAGTAATGCTTTCGTGTAATGCGTGCAATCGTACCAACTCAGAGACAGAAAATTAACAAGTGTTTTTTCTTTAAGTTGGCATTGATCGAAATGTTTTATTTATATGTTATCGTTAGGAATATTATTTATTGTTGAAAAATTATTAAAACTCGTTTCATTATAGTTTTTTTAAATAATCAAAGTTAATTCAAACTGTGTTAAAAAATTAAATATAATATATGAAGGTACAAACATTGACTTTTTTTTATTCAACACTGAACTTAGCGCACTCTGCTGGTGCATTTGAAAACTAATTCACGTTCCAATTAAGCATCAGCATAATTCGGCATTGTGCGCCACTGAGTCGCATTATGCTCTGTAATTGGAAAACCACCACAGAGAGCCCCCTATGCAGAGGATGCATGGAGGCAGAAGAAACGCCACAGCATGTCATGATGGTATACAGGAGTGTGGCCGACTAACGGGCACGATTTCTCCAGTCGCCAGGATCGCTTCCGGAATCTTGCAGCAGTCTACCAAGGCTGCTATCCTTCTGGACCAATATAGGCTGGCTGGAGTAAACGGGAATGTTTTGTGACACGCACAATGGTCCAATAATTAGGACTAAGTGCGGAAACCGCCCTGAAAAACTAAACTAAAGTAATATTATAAAGGCGAAAGTTTGTGAGTGTGTGAGTATATTTGTTACTTCTTCACGTCTAAACGGCTGGAACGATTTTAATAAAGTTTAGTATGGAGTTAGCTGCCACCCTGGATTAATAAATAGGCTACTTTTTACTGCGGGTAAATATCCCTAATAAACAGCGCGTAACATCACGGAGCACAACTATTCTACATATAAAGTATATACATATCTATAATAATATTATAAAGAGGAAAGATTTGTTTGTTTGTATTGAATAGGCTCCGAAACTTCTGGACTGATTTGAAAAATTCTTTCGCGTTTAGAATCTGAAGTTATCCCTGATGAACATAGGATATACAGTATTTTCAAAAAAGATAGGAATTCCGTATGGAAACTTCGATAACGTAACCCAGAGTGTGAATAAAATACCAAAAAGTCTAAAAATATTGTAAATATAATTAATTTAACTTTCACCAAGTCGTGACACGTCGCTGACTTTTATATCTATTTTTCCTTTGAAAGCAAAATCAGTGTTATCAAAGGTGTAATTTATTTTATATTTATAAATTGACCAGTATAAGAAGGAAAACACTTTCATGTCTATAATTACTGACAATTTCACAAGTATGTCGACTCGACGAAAATTATCGTTGAGATACGATACGGACAATTATAACGAAATGTCAATGACATATGTCAGTGACATATGTTGTCTTGGTGAAAAGGTACCTGAATTAACACACATACTTGTAACTAAACAATAATTCTTTTCCAATTGTAGAGACAACCGTGATCTTAATGTAATAGTGAGTTTCGAGCCGCCCGAATATCAAGATCCTGACTTGAAAGAGCGCACTTTTGACCAAGAACTAGCTTATTTACGACTGAAGGACGCGCTATTATCGTCCATAGCACTGTGCATCGAATGTTCCGACAGTAGACCTCTAGAAGAAAGGAGACGACAGTACGAAGAACTAAAGACTTGTATAGACGCGTTTAGTGAAGCTATGGAGAAGTGTAAACAAAAATATAGTGTGAAAGAGAGGATTAGCATATCAACACCGTTCCCATCTAGGATATTTGGTAAGAGAAACTTTCTTATTTAGATTAAACATTGGTGTCAACGATATTAAATACCCTAGATACATCAACACGAACAAAATCGTGCCTGAAACCTGTCCAAAAGGTACAATGGACGATCTACGGAGCTGCGTTAGATGATTGCGTAGTCAAAAACAATATAAGGCATTATTTAAACATTGAAAGTCACCTTTAATGCATACTGCATAAGGTCTTAATTAAAATGCCTGCGTCAAAGAGTTTTGACAGTTCAAAATACAAGTTCGTAAACTTTTACAACTTATTGTGCTATATGCGGAAGAATATAGACCTTACTTCTTGGACTCTACGCGCAATTTTGAATGCGCTGTTACGGACTCTACAGGGCAGCAATATAGCAGGTACGGACCGCGAGGAAAAGAGACGGCTATACCAGCGACCATGCATTTGAATAACACAAATATTTTCTATTAATTCAGTTTATAGTTAGTATTAGAGCAAAATTTGCTTCAAATGCGTTAAAGTAACAAACATTGATTAGATACCTGTCGAAATAACGACACTTTACATACTATAAGTATTTTTTTTTGCATTTATTCACGGAGCTCTGCGGCAACTTTACTTTTCAACTGTCCGCGCGTGACTGTGAACGAGGAAGTGCTTGAGAGTTGTGTTCAAGCACTTCTTGATTGGGACACAATTTGAGCGCACGTGGTGGATCTAGGGTATTTGATATCATTGATTGATGTCGATTTTGGCGCAATTCTCTAAACTTAAAACTAAATTTTACATTAGTCTCTCCTTTTCATTCTGTATAGAGAATGACAAGGTAAAAGTGTTGTCAAATTGAATTTAAGGTTTAGAGAATTATGCCAGTATCGACATCATTGGTCTCCATATTCTAAAGTTAAACTTAGTTTTAAATCTTAATATGACCATTCCACATCAATAGGCTTTTTGACAGTATGAAAAATAATGTACCAATTGTTGGCATCTGTGTTTATTATGAACATTAAAAGCGATTTTACTATTCTGTAAGAACAAATAATTAATGACTTTGATAATGTCATAACTTAGATATTATTTTCTTGCTCCATGGTCACGTGACAGAAAACGCCTGGGATTGGCCAAGACGTCACACGCTAGTAAACTTCCGGCCAAAGTGACTGTGATGTAGTTGTATTGTATACTAGTGAGATGCCATAGTGTCCAGACAACAGAGAAAAGGTTTCGCGGCAACTTGAAAATTGAATTTTTAATTTAGTTTTTTTACTGAAATACACAATAGATTTTAAAAAAAATATTGTATGAGTATAACCTGGATAGAGACGTAGGATTTGTTATGCCAAAAGAAATATTTTTAGTTTTTTTATGAGATTTTCAAAAAACTAAATTCGCCAAAGGACAGAAGCTAAAATAAAAACAACCTGATAATATCTGTTTTTCTTTTTATTGTTACTAGCGTTTGTCAATTCCCCCGTTCCTTACCGGGAGTTATATTACGAGGGAGTTCTAATGGTAGGAGCCTTAGCGGTGGGCGATATCAAAGAGGCTCAAGAGAGATGTTCGAACGTTTCCGCTCTCACTGCGACCGCACCCGAACTATTGAGGCCACACCTTGCTACCGATGATTGGCTGTTGAGAGATACGCTTGAAACGCTGGCCAATTACTTAGAGGTGAGTAGATAAATAAACAACATATTTAGACTAGAATAAGTAGCGTTTCCGCTCTCACTGCGACCGCGCCCGAACTATCGAGGTCACACTTTGCTAATGATGACTGGCTGCTGAGAAACACGCTAGAAACGCTGGCTGATTACTTAAGAGGTTAGTAGATAAATAAACAACATATTTAGAGTAGAATAAGTAGCGTTTCCGCTCTCACTGGTAGGAGCGTTAGCGGTGGGCGATATCAAAGAGGCTCAAGAGAGATGTTCGAACGTTTCCCCTCTCACTGCGACCGCACAGGAACTATTGAGGCCACACCTTGCTACCGATGATTGGCTGCTGAGAGATAAGCTTTAAACGCTGGCCAATTACTTAGAGGTTAGTAGTCCAGTAAAAATTAATAAATAAACTTTATTTAGATCACAATAAGTAGCGTTCCCGAACTATTGAGGCCACACCTTGCTAATGATGACTGGCTGCTGAGAGACATGCTAGAAACGCTGGCAAATTACTTAGAGATTAGTTAATAAATAAAAACATTTTTAGACTAGAATAAGTAGCGTTTCCGCTCTCACTGCGACCGCGCCCGAACTATCGAAGTCACACTTTGCTAATGATGACTGGCTGCTGAGAAACACGCTAGAAACGCTGGCTAATTACTTAAGAGGTTAGTAGATAAATAAACAACATATTTAGAGTAGAATAAGTAGCGTTTCCGCTCTCACTGGTAGGAGCGTTAGCGGTGGGCGATATCAAAGAGGCTCAAGAGAGATGTTCGAACGTTTCCCCTCTCACTGCGACCGCACAGGAACTATTGAGGCCACACCTTGCTACCGATGATTGGCTGCTGAGAGATACGCTTGAAACGCTGGCCAATTACTTAGAGGTTAGTAGTCTAGTAAAAATTAATAAATAAACTTTATTTAGATCACAATAAGTAGCGTTCCCGAACTATTGAGGCCACACCTTGCTAATGATGACTGGCTGCTGAGAGACATGCTAGAAACGCTGGCAAATTACTTAGAGATTAGTTAATAAATAAAAACATTTTTAGACTAGAATAAGTAGCGTTTCCGCTGCCACTGAGACTACACCCGAACTATTGAGGCCACACCTTGCTAATGATGACTGGCTGCTGAGAGACATGCTAGAAACGCTGGCAAATTACATAGAGATTAGTTAATAAATAAAAACATTTTTAAACTAAATTATGTAGCGTTTCCGCTGTCACTGGGACTACACTCGAACTATTGAGGCCAGACCTTGCTACCGATGACTCGAGGTTGAAAGATACGCTTGAAACGCTGGCCAATTACTTAAGAGGTTAGTAGTCAAACAATAATGAATAAATAAACATTATTTAGATCACATAAATAGCAAAATAGCGATCCCGAACTATTGAGACCACACCTTGCTACCGATGACTGGCTGCTGAGAGATACGCTTGAAACGCTGGCCAATTACTTAGAGGTTTGTAGATAAATAATTAAACTTTGTTTAGACCAGAATAAGTAGCAAAGTAACGTTTCCGCTCTCACTGCGACTGAACCCGAAACATTGAGGCCGCACATTGCTTCCAATGACTGGCTACTAAGAGACACTTTAGAAATGCTGGCCGATTACTAGGAGGTGGATAATCTAACAATAATTAATAAACAAACTTTATTTAGATCACAGTAAGTAGCAGACTAGAATAAGAAGCGTTTCCGCTGTCACTGCTACTGCACCCGAACTATTGAGACCACACCTTGCTAACGATGACTGGCTGCTAAGAGACACTAGGGCTTGGTAATATATCTATACTTGATAAACTATGTTTACATCACAGCATCCACTATGAGAGTCAATCCTGAGAGTATTAATAATTATCTAACCACACTCGTTGAAAACGCTCCAACAACTCCATATCGTAATTAAATAAGTGTGAGTTTTATAAGCGTCATAATAATTATGCTCTTCAATACTAAAGAAAATTTTACTAGAAAAAATTACACGTCGATCAGGCAGCAGACGGGACTCTAATCCGTACCTTCGCTATCCGGTCAAATGCACTGACCATTATTCTACCGCGGCCCTGATGGCCGTGTCGATTTTTCTCTAGTATTTCCTAGGCTTCAAGGCAGTTAAATTCTTAAAAAAATCAAATACAATCATGTTATTTTTTAAGTTTCATGTGTTGATAAAACGCACATTAACTCCTTTTTTTCTCTTTTACAGTTCATTGGAATAATTAATTGCTTATTAGGCGTCTGCAACGAACTTGTAGCGCCGGCGAGCACGAAGAAGTCGAAAAAGAAAGCCAACCAATCGCCCGACGAGATCAAAACCACGGAACACCTCAACAAACTCAATGAAACAGTGCAATCCTCCATCACCTTCCTAGAAGAGGCGTTCGAGAAACTTCCGTTGCATCGCTACGAAAGCAACCTAGAAAAAGAATTCTCTAAACTCACCATAGACAAACAATTCGGCGTGTGCCCCGTAGAAACCAAATTGCAGAACGGACGCCAAGACATGATCACCGAAATACAAAACTTGTTGAAGCGAAAGTCGCAGTGTCTAAAGAGTTTGATCCATTGAAGTGGCCTTCCCAAATCGGTTGTATTACCTGTAAATTAATAAATACCTAGTGCTGTTCTAAACGAAAACATATCTTGTACATAATGCCTGTGTAGTTTATTTTTTCTAATGTAATAATTTTGTTTAGATTTTATTACAGCTAGGTCGAGTACGCGTACAGCTCGATACTGGACTTTATTAGTGAGTGATATGGTCCAGTTTGCGATGAAATCGAGCTTATGTGAACTTAAGCCGCGTCTTTCCATCGATGGTAAAATTTGACTAAAGTTAATGCCAAGTCAAATACATAGTAAATGTGTCAAATTTTGACACTTTATTTTTCTATGGGATTTAACTATAGTTAAATTTAACTATCGCTGATACATCGTGGCTTTAATAAAGTGCCGTGATAGGTTTTGTTTTGCAATGTTTGCATACACAAATCGCAATTACTGATTGTTCATAATGAGCATAGATGAAATATTTGCTATAATTTTTATTTATTCGTATGAATACGATATAGATCCAAGAGCAAACAGACTATAAATAAATTTTTAAAAATGTATGTATTTTGTTAAAATCGTAACATAATTTCTCTTATTTATGTCATTTATGAGAATTACGGCTTTTCGTGCCTTTCTTATGCGCGATATATAAATAATAATATATAAGTATTATACTTGTCCATAGTAAATAATATAATATTATGTGGCGACCACGTCAATTGAACTGAATACGACAATTTAACAGAACGCATACGTATATACTGTTTCAAACAATTTTAACACATGATCATCGATTTAAGCTGTTACAACAACTCTTTATGATAATAAAGATTTGTGCATTTATACAAGTGGCTGGTTTTATTGCAAACAAACTTACCAGGGGACAATGACCGTTCAAGGGATGGCAGACCAATATAATTTATTATCTCGAGCTCCTCCGTCTTCGGAAGGCACGTTAAGTCATTGGTCCCGGTTGAAGACTGTCTGCAGTCATTAGCACCCAACTATTTAAAAATTTGAAAAGTCCTGACAAAAAGCTGGACGTTTCGATAAAAGTCCGGACATTTTAGTCACAAAATGCAAACATCACCCACTTCATGATATTATACTCGTGGTAGCAGACGCTCGCATCGCGAGAGGGGTCTCTTTGTTGATTTTTAAAGATGATTTATATTTTGTTTTAAATTAATGAGAACTTTATTAAGATTATTTTACTTATTTGATATAGCTAAATAATTAGTTTTACTCATATTCTATCTAATTAAAAAAGCCGTACAAAAGGATAAAAGTCCTGACATGTCCGGACAAAAGGCTAGAAGTCCGGACAAATCCGGACAGCCGGTAACCCTACACCCAACGTTATTTAACTCCTAGATACACCACGTGCGCTCCAAATGTGTCCCAATAAACAAGTGCTTGAACACGACTCTAGCACGTCTTGTTTCACAGTGACGCGCGGACCATTGAAAAGTTAACATGCCGCATAACATGCTGGTGGGTATTCCCCAGGATGATGTAGCCAAACTCCTGGCAAGAGACCGACGCGTAGCATACAAGCTCGGGTCGATCTACGTCCGTTTCTCGACGGGATCCGCCGACAAACCCACCACGACACCGAGTGAGCCACATCCACCAGCCACTACGTCGAACCTACCGAAAGTGACGGCGACGACGACAACAACAACACCGGCCTATAACTCGCCACCGGCCCGACAGTCCAGTACGGAGGAGGAGGGTACTGGACGTATGGACTGGTGGATTGAAGGGGAGAAGGCGAAAGAAGAGGGAGAGAGAGCGGGATGTTCGAGTCGTCAAAATGACGAACGACAACCCAGCCCCCCTCTTTAAAATCATCCAAACGAATCTCCAGCACAGCCAAACAGCCACGTCAAATCTTCGGCGTGTGCTGGAGACCAACACCGAGACCATAGCCCTCATCCAGGAACCGTGGATAAGAGGTGAGAGGATATGTGGTCTGTCAAACATCGGAGGCAAATTACTTCTGAACACCACCGTAAGTAAACCACGTACATGCATTTTTACTCCTAAACATGTTAAAACCGTATTAATTACCGAGTTCTGTTCCAGAGACCTGACTGTAATCAGGCTCCTCAGTGACACACCTAGCCTTCCCGAGGTGATTATAGCGTCCGCCTACTGTCCGGGCGACGCTGACATCCCTATGCCGGAGCTCGAAAGGCTGGTGACACACTGCGAGCAAGAAGGACTGGAGATAATCATCGCTGCTGACTCCAACGCACATCACACACTATGGGGCAGCAACGACACCAACACCAGAGGTGAGGAGTTTTCAACCTACTTATTCTCGACAAATCTAAAAATTATCAACAGAGGCTCTGAACCCACTTTTGTAACATCAAGGGCCCAGACAATTATCGACCTAACCCTCACTAGTGAGAGAATTGCCCAATTCATCACTAATTGGCATGTATCCGACGAAGCATCTTGCTCGGATCATAGATGGATTAGGTTCCACCTTCACATGAACACTAAACCACCAGACCCACGACGAATTCCACGTAAGACTGACCGCAAAAAATTTAGCTTACTAGCTACGGCCAGCCTGAAGTGTCTCCATTTACCAGAGGTTTATAATAACCCTATGGAAATAGACACACACGTGAATAATCTAACATCAAGCTTAATCGTCTGTTATGAACAATCCTGCCCACTCACACAGCAACGCTCAACAGCTAAAAGTAAACACAACTGGTGGGGTCCTGAACTAACTAAATTGCGACACAAGGTAAGGAAAATGTTCAACAGAGCTAAAAACACCAGACTAGAACACGATTGGATTCGCTACAAGGAGGCACAGTCGCAGTACAAGAAGTGCATCCGATTCAGGAAAGCTGAATGCTGGAAGCGCTTCTGTAGCGACATCCAAGACAACAATCAAGCTGCAAGAGTGAAGAAAATCCTAAGCAGCGACCCTGAACGCAACTTAGGTTCACTCAAAAAAGCCGATAACACCTATACAAAAACCGACGCTGAAACCTGTGAAGTACTAATGCAGACTCACTTCCCAGGCTGTAACACAAAAGACAACCAAGAATGGGAAGATGAAACATTTGCAAATCCGGAATCAGCTGACTGGGCAACTGCACACAAAATCATAAAACCCAACACATTAACATGGGCCATCAAAAGCTTTCTCCCATTTAAAGCAGCAGGACTGGATGGCGTTTTTCCAGGCCTACTGCAATGGTGTGGTGAGTCGATACTCGACCATCTTCTACGTATCTATACGGGATGCCTGGCTTATCGGTACATACCCACCAAATGGAGAGAGGTGAAAGTCATCTTCATACCAAAACCAGGCAAAAGTGACTACACGCAACCTAAGGCATACAGACCAATAAGTCTCATATCGTTTCTCCTAAAGGTACTGGAGAGGATGTGTGACAGAGATCTGAGGGATGATGCCTTACAGCGAGTACCACTACATGCAAATCAACATGCCTACAGCATGGGCAAATCCACTGACTCCGCTCTACATAACGTAGTCAAGCAAATAGAAAGCGGACTATTACCAAAACAATCAACGTTGGGAGTCTTCATAGATATTGAAGGCGCCTTCGACAAAACTAACTTTACCAGCATTAGCCAAGCACTTGTGAGACATGGCGTTGACTCCACAACTGCGGGATGGATCAACAACATGCTCAAATATAGGGCAGTACAAGTGACTGTGAACACTACGAAGAGAGCCGTAGTGGCTCGGGGTTGCCCACAGGGAGGAGTCCTGTCTCCTCTCTTGTGGAACATTGTGGTGGATGAATTAATCTGCCAGCTCAATCAACGCAACTACCACACAGTAGGCTATGCAGACGACATAGTGATTCTCATAAGCGGGCCATTCCAGAATGTGCTGTGCAACTTAATGAGCAATGCTCTCAAACTAGTCGAAAACTGGTGTATTAAACACCAACTATCGGTGAATCCGACCAAAACAGAGATGGTCATGTTCACAAAGAAACGTAATTTGGATACTGTTAAATTACCCAAGTTATTCAACACGGAACTGTCACTGTCTAACGAGGTCAAATATCTAGGCATAATCCTTGACCATAAGTTGACATGGAACAGTCACCTAGACCATAAGATAAACAAAGCCAGCATAACATTTTGGCAGTGCAAACGACTACTCGGTAAAACCTGGGGTCTAGCACCAAAAATCACAAAATGGCTTTACACAACCATAATCAGACCACTCATCACCTACGGTGCAATAGTTTGGTGGCCTAGAACCGAACTAGCCACCGTTAAAAACAAACTGCAGCGTTTTCAAAGACTTGCATGTTCAGCAATTACAGGCTGCATGAAATCCACACCGACAAACGCCCTAGAAATAGCGCTAGACCTATTGCCACTTGATCTGTTCATACAGCAAGAGGCAACAATGGCAGCGCTAAGAATATACCATCTGGGCCTATGGACGGGATACCAGGGACCTCACTCCAAGATTTTGGTAAGGGCTATACAACACCAACCCCTTGTAATAGCCCGCTGTGACAAAATCCCGACTATACACACATTTGATAAGAAATATCAAATAGAATTACAGGAAGCCAACAAGGACTGGTCCGGCACAGACGAAATGCGCATATACACTGACGGATCCAAAATACCAGGATCCGGATCAGGCGCTGGAGTATTCTCCCTAGACCTTAACATCCATATATCAACGGCACTGGGTACTCACAGCTCAATATTCCAATGTGAATGTATAGCTATTACTCAGGCCGCCACCGCCGTCATCAACAGGAAAGTCACGAACTATAAGATACGCATAATATCTGATAGTATGGCTGTCCTAAGAGCCCTAGACAGTAACAGCAAAACGTCTGGGCTAGTATACGAATGTCACCTAACATTGGAGCGAATAGCAAGAGAGAACAAGGTTATCCTCCAATGGATCAAGGGACACAGCGGCTCTATGGGGAATGATGCAGCCGATGTACTGGCTAAAAGGGGATCAGCACATATAGTGGAAGGCCCTGAGCCGCTCCTGCCGTTACCCTTTAACCAAATTCGTGCATGGGTGCGCCAGCAAACCATACAGAGCCATAACACCCGCTGGGCCAACACCGAGGGCTGCAGGCAATCTAAGGCTATCTTCCCCAGCCTCAACCCAAGACTAACTAGAAAACTACTAAATCTCAACCGAACTGATCTCCGAGTAATGCTGGGCACTATAACAGGTCATTGCCTGCTAAATAAGCATTTACTAACCATACGTGTTACAGATAGTTCTCTGTGCAGAGGATGTCTAGAAGCAGATGAAACGGCCGCTCATGTGATCCTGGAGTGCATGAGTGTGGCAGAACACCGGGCATCAATCCTTGGGACGCCGAGGACGCTCCTAGAAGCCTGTGAGAGTCCCAGGAGACTACTGCGCTTCTGGAAGGAGCTGGGCTGGCTGAGCTAGCTAGCCCAATCAACCCTGCACGCACAATGGACCAATTATGAGTCTACGTGCGGAAACGGGGGCCCACAACAAGTAACAAGTAACATGCCGCAGAGCTCTGGAAAAAATGTGAAAAGAATACTTATATGATGTAGTGTCGTTTTTTGACAGGTATCTAGTCAATGTTCAGTTTAACGCATTAAAAGCATATTTTGTTCTAATACTTACTATAAAACTATTTAATAGAAAATATTTGTGATATTCAAATGCATGGTCGGTTGTATAGCCTTCCCTTTTCCTCACGCTCCGTATTAAGTAAACAGCGCATTCAGAATTACGATGTAGAGTCATAGAAATAAAGTCTATATTCCACCTGTAGCAAAAAGTCGTAAAATTTTACATGCTTGCATATCGGACTGTCTTACCTGTTTGAAGTTTTAAATTAAGATCTATTTTAATATGTATTAATATTATCCCCGCCCGGATAGCGAAGGCTTCGAGTCCCATC